AGCAGTACATTAATTAAAACCCGAATTTCCACAATAGGATGGGACATAACAATGACCTGCTGCACTAATTCGTTTGGATGCGCAGAGTTTGTTCCGACAACTTCCGTTTCCTGATTGGTTACTAAGAGTATTCTGACATCAGATAACTTAACACTTTATAAGTTTATTTTTTTAAAATATTAATAAAAAAAATCCCAAATATTCGAGTAAAAAACTAAACAGATTTACTTTAACAAAGCGCTTTTAATAAATATTATCAGTAAACCAGGTCTTAAACTTTTTTTAGATTTATACTTTCCTTACTTTGTAAGGAAACATTTAAAAGCCACGTCTTTAAAGATATTACTTTAATTATTTTCGAAAAAGTTTTGTTTATTTTATGGTCTATTCAATTAATAAACTCATACTTTTCATGTAAGCTTATTACTTTAACAGAATTCTTGATAAATTTATATAAGATATTACTATTATTATTATTAATTATGATTATTTTTGCTAATCATAAAATTTATTCAAGATTAAAAAATAAATACGGGTTTAAATTTATAAAGACCTTCGACTAGACTTTTTTAAAAGATTATATATAGACTAGTCTGTGTAAATGAATAGAAAGAATGTCACATTTAACTTAATAACTCATAAATTATGATGATGATGATGATAGATTTCCTCTCCTTTTGATACTGTTGATTTATCTACAGATGAAAATATCAAATAAATTTTTAATAAACTAAAATTCTTTCATGAAAAATGTAAAAACATAAAGCATTGTTTCGATGATTTGGATATCGCTTCATCAAATTTAAAAATCGCATAGAAAAACTTATGGAAAAACTTTGAAAGCATTCTTTCAGGTTACGAATTTTTTTCTTATGTTATTTTGGACATTTTAGAATGAGAATATTCAAAAATATAACAAAAATTAGTATTTGTATTCAGTAAAATGTTATCTTCTATCAGTAAAAGCAAATTATTACGAATTCTATTGAGTCTTTCTTCATTTTGTATTTTCACCAAGATTATGTTCGTACTGTGTTCGTGTCGATCATATTTAACAGACAGAAAGCAAAATATATTAATCTGTTTAATATGATGTGGGGTCAGATGTTATCTTTCTGTCTTTAGTATAAAAATTCGATACTTATACCCGCTCCCAGATGGCACCTCTGTACTGTTTTGGGACTCAGAAATTTTATAATAGCCGTTCAAAATGTTGCATTTGTAATTATAACTTCGATGTAAGAGTATTTTAAAGTAATACGTGCTTTAAAAAATGACTTCTTTGCCTACAGTTTTTGTAAATTATTAAATTTTCATGCTTATAATTTGTGTATTTGGTTGTTATTATTTGATAGTAACTTAACTAATTTTTAAAATAATTGATTAAAAAGACATAATTGTTTAATATTTTTTTAGTGTATTATAAAGAATAATTATTTTAAGTAAGAAATAATTATATTTTGACTTTTATAACACGTTTGTAATTAGACTATTTATAATTGTAATAATTAAAGCTATGGAATGTACTATACGATATGAATAAGCCTATGTAACTTGGAAGGTTTAATTGGAATTTATTCAAAAATTGTCTTAAATTACAAAACAAACAGAGTGGAGTTTCACTTTTGTTTTTATTTCGACAATCAATTCAAAGAAACGTCGTCACTCATCTTCTATTCTTTATTTTTTTTCCTTCTGTCAAAAGTCGTAGATGGTATGATGAAAAACATTTCGTTTAATTCTTCAGCTTCTTTTGCAAAAATGACTGCACTAATTCATTCGTCACAGCTTTAATGCTAACCTTCTTTATTTCTCAGTACCGTGCAAATTGAAGTACTAAATAAAACAAGCATTCGACAAATTACAGTCGGCTATCTCTTCTTCTCATTCATACAGTTTAAGGTAGCTCTTCCTTTCCCAGTTTAATGTGGTAAAGGAGATGAAAAAAAGCAAACGCAACGTTCAATTTCGTTCCACCCCTTTTGCTAAACGCCATAGAAACTTTCAATCCGATTCTAACTTAAGTTTATTTCCGTATTCCAATGTAGCTGTCTCTTTCGAAGCTAATTGGTTTTTGTCTTACTTCTTCTCCTTTTGTTCTTTCCCCCTCCTTCATCTCGAGTTTTTACAGCCTTGAAGTCTAATTAGAGTTCTTTGTAAGCAAGCAATTCCTGATGGAAGTTTGCGCTGTTTGTTTGACATGGACTCTTAGGTTACGTTCTGAATTCACTTATATTTTCATGAATTTTCAATATTATCCATAAAAAGTCGTTTTAATTTAATTGAAATTACATATTCTTTAATGTAAAATTTCATTAATTATTTTATCTCAAACATAAGACTTTGTGTGATGAATAACATCAAATTACATTAAATGCGCCTACTACAAAACTTAAAATGGAACTTAAGTTAATACAACTTTTAAAAAAACTTGTGTTAAAAATCCCGTGTGTGCCCGTGTGTTTGTTAAACTATTACTAACACGTCACAAATGTACAGTACCGTACAGTAAGTTACTATTGGCCGCATAATAGACTACAGACTACAACTGTAAATAATGTCTTCAAAATTCTGCAAAGATATTTAGGTTTTAAATAGCATTTTCATTTGTAATGATATTATAGTCTTAGTCTATTGTTTATTTGACAATTGAATAAGGAAATTATTAATAATAGATTATAAATAAAGTAAAAGAATTTGTTAGGTTAGATATCACAATCAAAAATTTTTCATTGATAACATTTTTATGATACAATAATTTAAAATATTTCTTTTCCCAAATGAAATGTGGCATTAATTAAACATAAATACATATTTTTAAGCACTTTTGAACTATTGCATTAAATTAATTTATAACTTAGTTTATAATGTTTTAAGAAAATTATATCTTATAAAATTATAAACTAAGTTATAAATTATAGCATTATAAGTTCTAAACTTCAATAAGTTTAGTGATAATGTATTCACAATCCTGTAAAAAGGAACGACTTACAGTAAACAAATCGTGTTTTTTGTAAAAACATATTTTTGATAATTTAAAAAATTTAATAGAAATAAACACTATAAAGTTATATATTTAAGTAAAAATATATTAATTTATATAATTTATTTATAAAGTTACTTTTTTCCATTTAGAAGAGTTTAGAATATGATAAATTTACTAGGTGTTTAATGAAACATGACGAAATTCCACAAAATCCGAAAACAGCAATTAATAATGGGAAAAGAATGATGTCCTGTTTCTGCTAAATATGGCGGATTTAGCTGTGGGACGGGCTTCTAGTGAGGGCAGGCCCTGTTCGAGGGAGGCCTCCTTCATTCAGCTTGTGCGTGAAACAACAGCTGCTGAGTGGATGCCAAATTCTTTCCCCACCAAAACCTTTGCGGATTAAATTACAACCTCAAATCTCAGTCATCTCATTACTACAAAAACTAAATGTTAAGTAAGTTTACAATGCTTTTTTTGTAGATTTCTTGTACTGAGAAATCGCTTTTGATGTAACGATAATTATACTGTGTTATTATAGAAAAGTCTTTCTACGAATATTAACATAATACAATTAAATTGGACTAGACCAATTTGATATTTTAATCTATCAAAATATATTCTAAAAGATAATTGAAAAACTTCTAAAGTTTATATAAACGAAAATTATTCTTGTATACTCATAAAATTTTATTATTATATAGGCCTATATTCATATTTGAACGTTCAATTGATAGCTAAATTTAGCAATAATAAATTAATAATACAATTTCAAACAAATATTAAATCTTTAAAAAATTCTAAAAATATCTCTTAATCTTAGCGTTTTGAGAGTTCAGTAGGTCAAAATATGCTGGATAATTGCCAAGTTTATGTAAATTTAATACAAATCATTATAGAAATTATATAGGCGTAACTAAAAGTTTTATCATTTTCTAGCATATTTTCTAATAGTTTAGAAGCGAATAACTTAATTTCGATAAATATAAGAACGTGTGAATAATCTATTTATAAAGATACAAATTTAAATGAAAAATTCGTTAGAAATTTATGAATAATTAAAGTAAAGCAAACGATTTTTAAAGTATTTTAACGTGGTTATGAAGATATTAAAGGCGGTATATAAAGTGAGAGCAATAACCAATCGGCGATTAACAGTAATAAGATGCTACTTTATTCCACATCCATTTCTTCGTATGGGCGTTTCTACTGTATTTTTATTATCGCTGCTAATGGTTAAACTTAAATAAATAGGAAGACGTAACTTTTCTGTATTTTTATAAGCATGTAGGTGTGTATTTTGCAAATAGGTCACGCCTCTCTAAACTCGAAGCACAGGAATTTTAAATAGTTATTAGTCTAATAGTTTTTGTTTCAGTGATGTTAAAACGTTTAATTTTTTCCTGTTCGACTGTATAAAAATCTAAGCTAGTTATTAAATTCATATATACTTATTTTTAAAATTATTTTAAAGGTTAAAACTAGTAACGTCGTTAAATAAATGATTTTTTATAGATTTTAATCGTAAAAATTTAGAGTTGTAAAACTTAAAACGAAATGTTATTTCGTTAAAATATTCTGTAAGGATTTAATAAGGAAAATGATAATTAATTCGAGAAGGTTTCGTTTATTTAAATGTGTAGGCCTATATAACTCTGTAAAGTATTTAAAAATATAATTGAGGGGGACGGTTTTCTTTACGGCCTGCCACATTGCCAATTCGTGTATTTATGAAATAAATAATAAATAAAATGAAGTGAATTCGATATGCTCTAGAACATATTCTAATTTTAAAAATCAAACTTTGTTATATGATATCTATTTGCTGTAAATGGATATAATACATCATCGAAACGAAATTAACTAAACGTAATGAATGCGGGTTTATAAGGAAATTTAACCTGTTGCCAACATTTCTTTCACTCATGTCGAAATCTCAATTCTCGCTCATTATTTGTCACAACTTGTCAACACATAAGTCAGTGGTAAGTTTCGCCCACGGATTTATCCATAAGTAAACATTAGGAAAAATAACTTAACAGAAAAACTTTGAGTTAGGAGTGACAAACTATTTTTCATGTTTGTCCTGTTCCATTTAAGTGACGTCGGAATCTTCTGACGTCACATCCTCGACAGAATACGTCATCGGCGACGTCAATCAACTAGACCGATGTTCTGCTTGTCATATACAAGGGTGCGGAAATTAGTGTGACAAGTCTCTTGGATTACCAAGATCAGTGGTAGGCTAGATACGGTAAGTAGCTATTTAGGGCTGCAGTAATGTTATAATCATTAGCTGATATACAAAAGAAAAATACCATATTGTTAATGTGATCCTTTTTAATTTGCCTGGTAATAAATTGCGTCTTTAAGCTTATGACTTTTTATAACTTAAATTTAGTAAAATTGTACCTTTTTTTTTAATGTTTATGAGTTAATAGTTTTGAAGTTGGACTGTTTTATAAGTTAGAAAGTTAAATCGGGAAAGTAAAAGATTGCATCAGGAGTTACATAAAGCCATTTATAGTTCACCTGAAGATGTTTAAATTTGCCCTTGAGAGGGGAGCGAAAAAAAGGAAGAAATATCGATCGACGTAGGTGGCCTCTGACCTTCGTGTTTCAGGTCGATTATTCTGACACTTACAACGTGTTAGATTGAGAGAAGGAAAAAATATCACTTTTATGAAGTTCTGTGACTACCGAAAAGCCTCTGCGAGTCTTGAATACTAAGTAACATTCACTTCGGGGTTAAGATTAGGACGATAATATGTGTTCTTGAAAATATCCACACGATCTTTAATGACCTCCGAATCTTTGTCACGCACATACTATCTTCTAAAGTAATATTTACTGAACGAAATGAGGAAAATTTTTTCATTGATTTTCATTGTCTCGTAATTACGGTTAACGAAAAATTAACTGCAATTAAAATTGCTGAGTTATAAGCTGATCACAAATTATTATTATTATTTGCTTAATTTAATTTTTAATATTTTAACTAGATTTAAAGACAAGAATTTAATTTTAAGTCGATTAAGTCATCAAAATTTATGATTGTCTTTACTATCATTTATATAAGTATTTTAATGATTTGTTTAATCGTTTTTTCTAGTATCTATCATCATTGTATTCATAAGATTCTTTATGGTTGGTTAATTTCAATAGATTTGGTAATAGGCGGAAAGGGTGAAAGATATTCCGAGTACTTGTAACGCAGTATAACATTAGCTATATTAGGACTAATTTAGTGGTTTTTTATTTATTCAATTGTTACAATAAGCAATAAGGCGATGTCTCTAGAACAATAAGACTACCCCCTATAAAATGCCCAAAGTTATAGAGCCAATCTACTATTAGGAAATAAGTTATAAAATTTTATAGAGCATTAAAGATTTAGATTTGTTTTATTTTAAAAACTCGAAAACTTCGTTAATAGATTAAATATTTAGACTTAAATTTATACATTTATTCTTTTCTTTCCGACACTTAAATACGCATCATCAATAGGTAAAGTGTGTAGGATGAAAATGTTTTCTTTACTGTTATACAAATGTAATATTTCTTGCTTATTTTGGGATTCTTTAGAAAGAATTGTAATCAAATTAATCTGTAATATATATATAGGCTATACATATATAAACATTAGGCCTAGAGTTTATATTAATTTTTTAAAGAATTTTTCAATTTATAATTTTATTTAGATCTTGTAGTAACCTACTTTTTAATTAACACCAATTAAAAACTAGTTAATTTTTTAATTAAGTATTTTATAATTCATATTGAATTAAGTAAGCCTAGCTTATATTATAAAAATTTAATAATTTTATTTATCAATCTATATAATTTTGTGTTAAAATTTTTGAAATTAAGATAATAAATGAGCTTTTTTTTAAGAAATTATTTATACACAAGGGCGATGAAATTAAGCTTAGTCTAAATAATAATAATTCTAAAAATGTTATCACGGTAAATAGTTTTATTTTAAATACTTTTTTTTTTTTTTATTAAAATAAGGATAAATAAATTTAGTTAAATGAAAATATTTTTCTTAAAAACCATTGTTATGATAGAAAAATGGATGATTTCTTGTTAAACACTTCAAGTTATTTTTAATTTGGTTGATTAGTTGAATTAAATTAATCAAATTAATCCAATGAGAAATTGAGCAGAATTAAGGAAAATTTCAATTAAATTTCAAAGATTTTCAATAAATGTTTATTCATACTTTCTGTATGGCGCCATCTTGTGATGCAAAAATAAACAATCGCATAATTAGCTAAATTAAATAATCGTAATACGTTAAACAATAATCGATTTTTAATATATTTTAATTAAAATAATCTTAAATTATTTTAATAAATAAATATATTTAACTCTATATCATTAATAATATTTTAATTTTTTTTATTGTGTTGATAAATGCGTTTCGACAAAGTAATTTTGAGTTTAATAGATTAAGCAAACATAAAAAAAAGCCATGAAAAATTTCAGCAATGTAATTCTATTTAAAAGCGTCGTCCATTCTGAAAAGTACAGGTGTGTAAATAGCCACGATCTATTCTTTTGTAAATCACGAATACAATACTTTACAACAGTAGACAGATGTCTAAGTGATCCATCATTCAAAAGAGGAGCGTTTCAAACTAACTCTTCGGTAGTCGTTATAATATGAGAACATTTAATTTTCAGTATTTAAATTAGACTTATAACTCGTTTCAGTAATATAAGATCTCTGAAATGTTTGTTTAAAAAAGTACAAGGAAAAGAAAAGGAAAAAATAAAAACCACAGAATAAATACCTCTATTATATTAGTCCTTCTCTTTCGTGTTTTTCTGAAGTGCACATGTTGCATACCGTCTATAAAAAAATTTTTACAGACAAATAAATCTTATTTTAACATTTAGTAAATGTATTTTTATTGAAAAAACATTCTAGTTTTTACTATAAAAAATTTTTATTATTATAAATGATGGTGCGTTTCAAATGTCTATTCTCAGTGCGTGCAATGTGTCTCCTTTTCTTTCAATTGTTTTGAGAGGAAAGGAATAAAATGTTGAGATAAACTAGACAAGAAGACAGAGACATAGATGGAACAGACATGCGACATTGTCCTTCATACTCTGCACTCATACCGAGGGGAAAGGGGGCAGGTGTTGGGGACCTTGGGGACAGACAAATGATTGATCATCCACAGGCCCACCCCCAAGACCGTATGGGGAGACAGTGGCTAGATCCGAACGGAAACTGTCCTCTGAACTTGCTCCCTCTCAACAAATTGTTTGGTCTACTTTCAGTCCTAACCTCTGAACTATTGTTAATCGATATACCCTGTCACGAGTGAAATGACCGAAGACAACAAAATTCAATAGTATTAAAATTGTTTTTGTTATTCATGAAAGCTATACATCTTTTTCGTTACCCACGAAGCAATTTTTTAAATTAAAACAGCGAAAAAAACCTTTATTTTCGGTTTACCATTTTAATTAGATCCCAACGAATATGCTTAAAATAGAATAAGAAGCATTAATCATACAGAAAGGTCTTTATTAGTTTCTTTTTTATAACAGCAAAGGCTAATGGCTCTGTTGTTATTTTTCAAATATTCTGTCACCTATTGAGTACGACATATTGAAATAATTCATTATTTCTCAATGCAGGATAAAATGATCGTAATATCATGCCCTACTGATCTAAATTTTTTACCGTGCGAACGTATTCTATGTTAATAGCTTCCAAATGATAGTGATGCTTAAAATAAAAAAAAATAAACCAATTGATTTATTTTTAATTTATTATTAAGCTCAAATTAAATGTTTCTTACAGCTTTATAAATTTAAACTTGTCAAAATATTTTCTGAAGGTAACGTATCTTAATGAGGTAATCGTTAGTGTGACGAAATGTGAGATTTCTGTCCTGGTCCTTCATATATCATTCTACGAACAAGTCGAGAAACATTCGCTCAGTATTGTTCAGTAAATAAAAAGTTATCCTCCGTATTCTTTAGAACACGGCTTCTTTGTTTCGTCTTCTTTTCAACCATACTAAACAAACGCTACCTTCTGCCGTCAACTTGGTCCGTTATGCTAACAATATCTCCAACTTACATTGCTTGCATTTCTACAAAGCTACCGCAGATACTAGGACGAGGTATTCTGACTGGTAGAAAAATGAGAATCTTAAGTTAAATAGATAAGGATAGAGATACACAGTTGTCTGTGCCAACTGTCTCGAAAGCGATAAAGAAGGCAAAGAAAGGCATCTCAGTCGCCCAGTTTAGCAGAAAGAAGACGGAAAGAATCAAGATAGTTATCTAAGACCTCCTTTGCTGCACAGTTTGATGCCTTCGTCACCCTGCATATTTCCTCTGATATTTTGGAATATTTTCAGAGAAGATTACTTTAGTCGTTAAAAGAAAAATCGTGATAAAAATTTTCGCTTAATTGCAACGGGATAAATGTTAATTTAGAATAAGAAATTCTCATCTTTTTTAAATTTATTTGTTATAAGTTATAAAGTGAAATATTTCGTCTTTAAGAGCAATGAATAATTTTAATTTTATGAATATTGCTTTAATGATTAGGCTGTATTCGATTTTAGTTTTGAAGTTTTTTTTTTTATAATTTATAAATTATTTAAATAATAAAATATCCATTAAATACGATCATTAAGCTATCTATTCGGTAGGCCTAATACTATTTAAGACATAAAATGTATTAACTCCTATTAATTTTCTATAAAATTTATTAACCTAATGTAGCGAAATTTTATTAAAATAAATTTTAATTTTAATTAATTAATTAATTTTTAAATAAATTTTAGCTATGCTTACAAGTTAGTATAATGTCTATTCGAGATATGCAAAATTTAAAATGAGTCAGTAGAAAATGATTTAAAAAATATTGTAGAAATATTATCGTGTAATTCTAAGCTAATTTTGTAACTTAAAAAAGTTCTACGACAACATTACATGGAAAAAAATGCAAAGATGTGCAGACTATTATAGGCCCCTCGTCTGAATGCTATGCGATTATTTAAGAATAGCATTAAATATCCTAGATATAACGAACTTCATTATTTATAAATTTGGTTCTTTATATGAAGAAAGGAATGAAAATTATTCAGTAATAAAATTGAATCTAATAGTTGTAGGCGTATTCTGACACAATGCCCAATTTCATGAAAGCGAGAATTTACCGCTACAAGTAGCCAGACATGCAATATATTTTTCGTCAACTCGACCATACTATACACTTATATGTGGATACGTACAGCAGTTTCGAAGCCCGAACTGTCCATAAACCACCAGGGGGTGTCTTCCCCTCATTGCGGGCGGTCTTTCGGTTTGTAACCGCTGTGGGTTGTCCTCCACCCCCTCCCACCCATTCATCTCTCTCTCTTTACAGTGCTTGGATTGGTTGCTGATGGAGGTCCAATCGAAGCGGAATCGACCCGTTGGGGGTAAACTCGCATCTCGTGGAGACTTCAGCCCACCAAACACACACAACTCGGCCACCGGACCGTATTTACCGTGCCCGCATGACTTGGTTCGCTTTTTAGCCCCGGTAACAGACCTTCAACCTATCCATCATTTTACTAACAATATCTCCGGGACTTGATTTCTCGTTCCCTTCTATCCCTCCCCACCTTTTAATTCGGTAAAATTGAACACCAACGTCGTATCGCGTGAGGACCAACCCTCCCTCAGACAGTTCGTCAGTAAGGGGGGTGCAATCATCGGGGTGGAAACAGACATTTGTATGCGTGCGTGAATCCAGTCGTGCGAGCGTGCGAGCTGTTCGCCTGAATGAGAAATGAGGTGCAGGCCGGCCGACGCAAAACAGGAGAAACGCTCTTATAGCAAATGTCCACGCTTTCGCCAATCGGACGAGCAAAAGCAACAGCTTTCGGGTGACTTTCTTTAATTCCGAGATTAAGTTAAGCCAGGACTAGGCGCAGTTTACCTACGCATCACGTGTCACAAAATCTGGGTATTTACTCCGAAAAAAATGGAGCTGGGGCAAGAAATTTCCTCTATCGCTACCGCAGCAAGCAATGTTCTAGTAGAGCAGATGTTAGTTTGCACCTGCAAACTTCACCTGCTTCTCGCTTCCTTAACACCCCCGCATCGTCTCTAGCACCTGGCGTTGACTTAACGCACAATTTTCATTGTTACTTTTACATACTCGTCTTTCATTTAAGCATAATTAACGTTGTCTCCCCTCTCTCTTTCTTTCTAGAATCTAGTTTGGTTAGTGTACCATTGGACGTCACGTGGTCACATGACAGTCATAGCAGTAGGCCGGGGTCAACATGACAGACTGCTGTCGGGATGTCCCCATCTGCGGAAAGATGCAGAAGGCTTCTAACATTTCTCCAACTCCGTATCCAGCCATGACCAATGGGTATTATACAGGAAACGGATCGAGCACTACAGAAGGAATTCACTTTTATCAACAAAGCAACTATACAGATTTCAGCTATCCGGTGCAAGCGAAATCTCCTTCGGACCAAGAAAACCGCGAACCCTATCACGTACGTAATAGTGATGAAGCATCTAGAAGTACTTCCTTACATCGTCAGGGATTCGTGTATTCGTGGATGAAAGAGAGCCGATTAAACACCACCAAACAGCAAGCGTCACAGGAGTTACATCAAGCAACAGACACAGGTAGGGAATATTTATGAAATGTCGAAAATTATTTTAAACGAGTCCCTTGTCATTTTATTCAGCCACCCCTCTCTTATTAGTAATTAAGTATCGTAAAGCTAACGTTTAGTCTAATGACTTCTTCGCTTTCTGCAACCTGTGACTGTAAAGGTTGACTAAGCCTAACGATTACGGTTAATGAGACGGTTGGTGGTTAGGCCTAACAATTATGCCTAATGACCACTGTGCTTTTCCTTACTTCCCTTGAGAGTGATCGCTTCGATTACCTGTTCCACCTCCCAAAGCGAGGCGAATTCTCTTCCTATTTTCGAAAACGGCTCACATTCACCTCCGACTAAGTGATCTTTTCCACACAATTTTAGCCAAGAAGCTAATTGAATTCTTTTATTTTCTGATCTGTTATTAAGACCGAACCTATTCACACGTATATTCACGAGGATTGCTCCTCACCGGTCCATAAATCTTAAGTTAAACGCGATTATCTGCTATAAAAACTCGAAAGAATTAAATTTAATAAGCAGAAATGTTCTTTTAATTATGATTAATAGGTTATACTTTATTGTTATTTAAATAAAACAAGATTTAAAAAAAGAAATACAATTCATATATCTTCTATAAATTATTATTATTAATTCGAAGAATAGTTGAAAAATTTGAAAGTAGAATGAATTATCGTATCGAAAATTTTGGTTTATGAAAAGAAAAAGGAGATAAATCTATATTTTGGAAGCATTCTAGTTTAAACATATCCATTTTAGAACGTCTGCATTTGTCACTTCGTTTACATATAAATGTTCATCTTTACATTATGAAACGATCTATCAAATCTTTCCTAGTGTTATGTATAATGAATATTTGAATTTTCAAATTAATATTCGTCTAAATTAGTTTCCCTGAATTTAAATAAATGTGAATATAAACATATAAAGTAAATCTAAAAATAAGCCAATGCAATTGGAGATAGATTTCATGTTGGGTCATTCCGGGAGAATTGCCCCACCTAAGGAAATAAATTCGTTAAAATCGGAAACTCGCCTTATTTTTTACATTTCAAATTATACAAGTAATGACTGTAAATGTAAAAAAAAATCGAGATTTATTTTGGTTAAGGATAAAATATTTGGCCAACAATAACTAAAAACAGGCCTATGACTAAGCTATGTAATCTAATTTCTGCAAGGCAAAATGAATTAAGGATTACGATAAATATTCTTTATGGTAATTAGATTTAAGCTAAGCACTTGTTAACTGAATGATTAATGGATAGAGTTCTTGCTTGATTGTTTGATTCAAGCATGATTTAAAAGCATCCTATTCTATACAAACTACACTACAGTACTTTGAATCCTTTTAGTTTTCCTTGCGATACTTCAAGTTTCTATCATTCTAGAATTATAAATTCTTTTTAAAAAATATAAACATTAATCAATGTAATTACTAATATAATACAGAAAAGACAGATTTTTTTCTTTATTTTAATGGTAAATTGGTCAAAATGAAGAATGAGATAATGGCTATAATTGTAAATATATGTAATGCGTTGATAATAGTTATTTATGTACACGCGTAGACCATATTAATATTCATAACATAAATGAAAGACTGCATAGAAAATATTCAATCGATAAAAAAGCATGTACTCTACTCTCTTAAAAAATGTTTATTTACGTTTATCAATCGATATTACACATATATTTATACTAAAATAAACAGACTTGTAGCCTATCAACTATTTAGTAACTAAAAAAAAAAAACTTATGTTCCTTAGTTACCTTCTATATGTAAAGGTTAAATAACATTCCTGGGAGAATATTTTTATTATAGATTATTTTATTAATACATTAATTTCTAATTATTTTAAATTAATTTAACTAAATTTTTGACAATAGGCCTAGGAAAAGTAAATTATATTTATTTTTATATCATGTAATTATAGGCCTAACAAATAACTCTGTAGAAGCGTGTCATAAATGAAAACATTTTTTAATAATTATTTTTAAAGTTTATAAATATTAACCTATAATTAGAATTATAAAAATTATGTTTTTAAAATTTAAAAACATAATTAAATTCTATAAGTTAATATTTAATAGTAAACTTACGCATCAATCATTTGTAAGTGCCATTAATAACCATACATTATCTGTAAATAAAATCTTGTAAATATTTTTTAAACAACACGATAAAAATTATTAAAAAAAAAACGTTTGAAATCTTAAAAATTTTTATTTTTTATTACTTTAAGAATAGATCTATAGAATAATCCAATTACCCTGTCTACAAATTTCTGGAACACGAAGAAGAAGAAATTAAATTAATCTATGCAAATTGTTTTTCAAAGACATTTCTCTTTTCTAATCACGTGTTTTCAGCTAACAGAATTCCCGAGTACATAAAACAATTTATCTTACACCTGTTATAGAACGAACTGTTTTGATTCTACAGAATTAACTAGAATATTGATATAAACCATGCATCTGGTCATTACGGGAACTGAAGAACGGCAATCCTTATTTGTATATTCTATTAAAGTGATAACAGTAACGTGTACCCCAGAGTAAAAGAGAGAAAAAAAATCCTCTGCGGAGGTTTATATCAGGCACGTGTTCAGGGCGACGAGGTTGTTAAATTAGTTAATGACACGGGCAACCGCAATGAACTATGAAGATGGTTAATTAGCCTATTGCTGGCAGTTGTTCGTGTGTGGCCCGAGAGGGACACATGGAACCCAGTTCAAACTTGTAATTCAGATAACTTATTTACAGTACTTTACCTTATGGAATTCAGAAAGATGTTAGAAAGCCTCAAATCCCGTAAAGTGTCACTCATCTTTATGTAACGTCTGGTAAATTGTTACATCGGCGTAATTGATAAAATGCCTCACAATGCATTCTGTATCATCTGCAATGTGAAAAATGTTTCATTATAACCGAGTTTTGTAATTAGATTAATAACTAACTTACAAATTAAAAATAAAATGTTTTTGGCCTATATACGACTCAAAAATTAGATAATTTAATAATTTATTTGATTATTACTTTTATATTATAAAGATATTAGAATCTATCTGAAGCTATGCGACAGGGGATCTTCAGGGGATTATTCGATGACGTATAAAACATCTATTCACTCATAGACCGTAGCATTAAATTCGTATCAATATTCTTAATTGCATTGTTCTATAACTTGTCAAACTGGATGCAGAAAATTGTTAAAGATCTCAAATAACTTTAATAATTAATCCCGTTTTCAGAATATTCATCGAAAAGACAAAGAAACGTGGATTCGATTTTCGTTTGTTGGACGATGATTTTATATAATATAAAATAAAATAGAAATTATTCGGTGCGTTTTAAAGAAGCAAAATAAACAAGGAAAAGGTAAGAAGGAATAAAAGAGATGAAGTATCTATAAATCGTTAACTTCTATCAACACGCTTTCAACGTGTTAATACATCTTCCGGAAGCTCGGCTCTTTGCTTTACGTCTTTGTAGAGTAGACAAATTGATTTATACGAGGCCAGCCACGATCATGACTGTTTCTTTCGCTACGTCCACACACTTAATGCTCCCGTAAATCTCGCGGGCGGTGGTCGACTCCATAAATCTTTCTCCCTCGCGGCTCGCCGCTTCGTCGAAGACCTTAAGCGTTTTGGAGTCTATTTACAGCTTCTCACAAAACGCTGTACACAGTTAATCTCTAGTGATTCTTATGCTAATTCTATTAACTTAGTGAATTTTCGGAATAGGGTTTGACTTCGTTAAAACACCGCGAGACATCTATTAGCGCATATTAAATGCATACTCATTATTTGCAAGGAAATTATCCTGCTGAGATGAGAAGGGTTATCAAACTGTTCTATATGTCAAAGGCTTGTTAAGGTTAATAGAATATTTTACTAAATATGAGAAAATCATGCTGGGACGATTTAAACTTTAAATTACAAAATTCTAACGCTTTTATAAATTATAAATTTACATAATTGTAAAAAGTTTAGAATTTTTCTTTGAAAATTAATTTATTTTGATTAACTGCTTCGTTTGTTGGACGCGATCTGTAATTATCTTATCATTAATAGATTTGTTTTCACTCTATTAAATTAATGAAAGTAAATTTGATTTGTTGAAATTCTTGCTGTGAAGAAATAAAATTCCATTCTAATCCTCTAAAACTAGAATTAAGTTAATGGGCCTAATAAATGTTTTTCTACACCGATGTTTCCTTAATGACCAGTGAGAGATGACTTAGAACAATCAACTAAACGTTAAAAAATGCTTTTTTGTTTTGTTTTATTTTCTTTTTCTTCCTCGTCCCTCACTGGTTTTTCTTCAAATTAACTAGGTCCTAAATTTAAGTCTATTTAATGGAATTTTCTTTCTTTGATTTTTTCCACATTCGCAAAAATTTACCTGCTCTTGCCTATCTGATTCAGGAAATAAAACGTTTTTTCCCTCCTTTTTTTGCAATTTTTACCAATTGTTTTGAAGAATTAACAGTTTTGTAGACTTATCGTAAATGGGTTAATGGATGTTGAAGGTGGTCGGAACGAACAGTTAATGTTACGTTGACCAAATAATTACTTATCTTGGAACAAATAGGCTCTAACAACGTAATCAGACATTCCATAAAAGAGAATAGACCCATTTTTTTACTACTTTCGTATAAAATATTTCAGAATTAGCTTATTGGAAACATTTAATAATATTATCTTAATAAAGTATAATAGACAACAGATTAATAGTGCGATTTAAAAAGGATTTTTTAAATTCTGAAATGTATTTATTTTTATATCTCCTAGCGCTTATATAATCTTGACTATTAATAATCCCATTAGCTTATATAATCTTATAAATGACGTATATTTATAGTAACTTTATACTGTTATTCTTACAAAAGATAGGGTGCATATGTAAACTTATAAGGATTACTACTGATTCATGCTTCATATTTTATAACTTTATGCTTTTGAAAATATTATTCGATCATTTCTAGTTATATTTTTCGTTCAGAAAATTAGATTTATACTTTATATTAATGTATTATTTATAGAAGACAATAAAATATCATCCGTATGAAACTAGAATATAAATTTTAAATTGAATGAATCCAAACGTTGCGTTACTTTCAAGTAACAAAAAATGGTTTAAAAATTATTGGAAGCATTATATTCAGTTATATATACCAAAAAATTATATAATAACTTACTGTGGTTTTACTTTATATTATTAGTAAAACATAATATATTGTAAAAGAACATGAAATAGCATATTGGCTTACGGAATGTAAAGAATTACATAATTAATTATAGAGTGAGGCAAATATAATTGTATTCGTTGAAAATCAGACTTCTATCAATATTTCTTTTCATTATAGTTGAAAAGTAGGTGTTTTTATAATTATTTTATAGGAAATAAAATTATTTTCTAGAGGATTTAATGTCATTTCATTTCATAAAAGCTAACTATTTACACTCGAAGAATATGATCAACAATATTTCTGTTACTTCTAATTATAATTTAACAAATATTGCTATTAATTAACTATTAATTAATTGCAAATTAAAGAAAATTATTTTATATACTAAAAGAAGCATTGTAATAGTGAATTCTAATCCGAGATAAGCTCTAATAGCATATTTAAGACAAAGATTAATTTTTAATTCCATCAATTGTCGTTTTCCTTAGAATATGGGATATGCATATAGAGTAGACTGGACGTATTTAATAATTCTTTTTCTTTGGTGCTATATTTCATGATAAAATCCCCAGTTTCCGAGATTATTCTTGGTCCGTGACAAACCCTCTGTCCTTCAGAGCATACTTTTGAAAGACCCCCTATGTGTTGCAGATCCTATCTATCATTTCCCTTATAAGCCTATGGCTGCACCATTGTTGATTCCAGAACATTTTAATCGACTTTAGGATCTGGAGACAATGTTCTGTTTTCACTTTATCTGTTCCTTAGCAGTTGATCTTACTTTATCTCTCTTAGTGTTTTCACGCTTTGTCAATCATTATACTGCCAAACAAAGATGTTTTGCTGACTTCAGTAGGCTGAAACATGCTTATTATTATATTTTATCATAAAGCAAGGATTGAGCATTTAATCTGTTTTCAATATACTATTGAATATTAAATGCGATATTTATATCTCTATAAATCTATTCGTATCACATTTCAAAACTTTTAAACGCATACAATTTATTACAAAATAAACTTAACACCATTCTTCGTCTGTACTAAAAATTATCAGTTATATTAAGCTCTAAATTACCATCAAATTCCCAATTACTCGATAAGTTTTTTTGTAGATTACTGCCAATGCCCGATTAATGATTAGTATTAACCCATTTTTCTACACCTTACAGCAGATAATTATTAACATATTATTTTTTATTTTGTATATACAGTATATATATAAATTACAAATTTATCAGTCATTAAAATTTATAAGAAAATATTTANTGGCATTAGTTTATACTGTATCCAATTTTTAATAGTACAATGCTCATCACAATTCATCAATTGTTGTTCTTATAAAGTTATAACTTAATTTTCATTATTATCAAAATATAATTTGTTTAAACAATGAATTTAGTCGAGTATAAGAATTATATTAACTATAAAAATAGAATAGATTGTACAGTATTTATAAATTAAATATAAGATTATAATCAATATTATTTGTTTTGTTTCCAGGAGACCAACCAATAAAACGTGCAAGAACAGCATATACCAGTGCTCAATTAGTAGAATTAGAAAAAGAATTTCATTTTAATCGTTATCTATGCCGTCCGAGGAGAATAGAAATGGCAGCTTTACTTAATTTAACAGAACGCCAAATAAAGATTTGGTTTCAAAATAGAAGAATGAAGTTCAAAAAGGAACAAAAAAGTAAAGGGTTATCCGTAGATGATAGAGCACCTAGTCCGTCATCTGGAGGAACCGAAGGATCTCCACTTCCTCAAACACTGTCTCCTATCGGGCCATCTGTTACACCTCAGTCTACAACTTTATGCCAAGTGAACGAAGAAAAAACGTTTTTAATCATTTATCAAATTGATCGTTAGATTTTTGACTACCATTTTCTGTTATCTTATCTGACTGAACGTGTGATATTTTCGTTACATTTTTCATTTAGAAACACGGGATTTCAAGAATTTTCTATTAGTCATGCAATGTGTTTTGATCAATAATGTAGTTCATTCATCGCACGAAAATTTACTGACCGTTACATGTGTGATTTGTAATTTCTGCTTTATTCATCCTCTTACTTGTAGCCTATACTAAATAAAAGTATATGATACAACGGCACATTTATAACACTGATTTGAAGGAATTATTCTTAAAATTAATTTACCGCTTAACTTTATTGATCATATCTATATATTTTTCGTACTTGAGTTGTTATTCTTTATAAAATATGAATTATTTTTAATAAAATAATTATTCTAGCATATGCCTATTATTGTTTTTACAATTTATTAATGTAAAATGTAATGGGCATGTATCTCAAAAATCTGCATAAAATTCAAAGTTATTTAAAATTCATTAATTATTTTTACTTTAAAATAAGATTCTTGGTTAAAGATAGGTTGTTTAACGTTCAGATGAAATGACCAGGCTGCATTCAAACTTTAGTCTTTCCATTAACCTCCGGAAGTGGAGGCTTTGAAGTGTACCAAAAATTCTTCAATCGTATTCTGCAATGGATCAAGTTGACTGGGTCGTGAGCATAATGGGAGGTGGCCATGTCTGGCCTGAAGACATAGTCAGGGTAGCATTTTTTAAGAAGGATTCGTCACTCTTCTGAATGCATTCGTTGCCATACACTTCTTAGGTGATGGAGAGCCATGATGGGTCAGTTCAACCAGGACCTGTGAACGTTCCTTTGAACTGATTGCCAGCCAAATCTGAAGCTTCGGCGAAAACTTGGAGTATCATTTGAATTTGATTTCGAGATCTACATCTAGCCCTTCTTTGATGAAATAGTGATTGTTACCAGCCTATTCATTTCCTTCAAAAGTGAAATAAGACTCGTCGTCCATATCCATATTAAGATTGACGCCTTCGAGTCTTCATCACGCAGCTTCTGCAGGTTTTTTTTTAGTAGCAAGTTGCTTCGTCTTGTATTTTGGAGCAGACTTTCACTTCTTGAGAATTACTTGACGTTCCTTGAGAATCCGGTGAATGTGTGAAATGCTGAACTTTCGAATTTTCAAGCGCTTATCCAACTTTTCTCGAGGCTTCTTTCTCCAATTGGTTCCTTTTTCGTCCACTTCCTCTTTCTTCTTTCTGCAAGTTCCCGTTGCTATACCTTTGAGATGATGCTATACACTGTGGAACTCTCATTGCAGAGAAATGTTAACTGTATATGATTTCCCATTTTCGTGATTTTCAGTATAAAATCTGCCAATCACATTTCTTCTGTTTTTAAAATAGATCGTTATTTACATAAACTTTTTCGATAAATGAAATCAAAAACATTCTAGAAAGAATGTATGCTGTCTCGTATATCGTATATATTTGCATTACCGGAAAACGCTATTGAATTTGTGCAAATTTTTAGGATACACGCCCATATTTAATAAGAGGCTTAAAAATTTGGTTAAATTAGTTACACAAATAAAGTTTTTATGCTAAATAATTCTTTTATTTTTTTATAAATCGTCATATAAAAAATGAGAAAAGGAAAAACAAATAATTAAAAATATTATTATAATTATATTGAAATGAAAAAACAAAGATTTGAACAACAATAAAAGTTCTTTTGTTGAATGATATATTTTGTTATTAATAGTAAGATATAGACCTATAATTAAGATAACGTCACTGTATATTATTATGTACTTAGGAATATTTTCTTACATATAATTTTACAATCGAATTACTATTTATTATTGTGTTCCAAAGGAGATTTTTATCTGATCAATGCTAAGAGCGGAAGTTTTCACTTGTAGGCCTTATTTGTTACTCTAAGTATTACTAAATCTTAACGTAAGAATGCCACAAATAAATGAACATTTTAGTAATTCTATTAATGAAATAAATTACAAATACTATGAAAATTTATAAACGTTTTAATAAGATTAATTATGTATCAATATTTTAATTTATAAAAATAGTTAATACAATAACTCTTAGAATTATTTTCACAGTCAATTTTCAACATTAAAATATTAGAAGAAATATAAATTTTAACGTGTTTTTTTTTTTCTTCTTCTCTTGCAAAGAAGAACACAGAATATCAATGATAGTAGCGTGCGAGTCATGCAATTAGATGTTTCCAGCTGTTTTCTTTTGTTTCTCATTCATTAAGAGGCCCTTGGCATTAGTTTATACTGTATCCAATTTTTAATAGTACAATGCTCATCACAATTCATCAATTGTTGTTCTTATAAAGTTATAACTTAATTTTCATTATTATCAAAATATAATTTGTTTAAACAATGAATTTAGTCGAGTATAAGAATTATATTAACTATAAAAATAGAATAGATTGTACAGTATTTATAAATTAAATATAAGATTATAATCAATATTATTTGTTTTGTTTCCAGGAGACCAACCAATAAAACGTGCAAGAACAGCATATACCAGTGCTCAATTAGTAGAATTAGAAAAAGAATTTCATTTTAATCGTTATCTATGCCGTCCGAGGAGAATAGAAATGGCAGCTTTACTTAATTTAACAGAACGCCAAATAAAGATTTGGTTTCAAAATAGAAGAATGAAGTTCAAAAAGGAACAAAAAAGTAAAGGGTTATCCATAGATGATAGAGCACCTAGTCCGTCATCTGGAGGAACCGAAGGATCTCCACTTCCTCAAACACTGTCTCCTATCGGGCCATCTGTTACACCTCAGTCTACAACTTTAGAAACGAGTGATATGGCGATGCATCATTATCACGAACCTGACAATGCTGAGGCTACAGACTATACATATCCTTTGCAAACAGGTCATCACATCCAAGTTGCACCATTAAGGCATTCTCCACTCCATTCGCTGAAACATCCTGCACAGATGGCAATGATCCAAGCACCATTAAATTTACACCATCATCCTGTTGATAGAAGAATATTGAGCCGAACTTCTTCCGAATGTTCTCCGTCATCAAAAAACTATATCCAGCAATCAGAGACTTCTGGGTACAATCGTCCTCTTGCTCATTATGCCCCTCAAGCCGTTAACTGTGTACAGAATGATACTTCTCACCATACATCTATAGAATCGAGAGGATTTCAAGTCTCAGATAGAGTTGTGGCTCATTCTTTTAATCAATCGTTAGAATCATCCCATTACCCTTCCTATACTGTTCAGAAAAACGTTCATTTTGGGCAACAATGGCCTGCGTATCGAGTACCAGAAGAGAATCAGTGCTGCTCTCAACAAAAGTTAGTTCATCTTTAATAACGATTTAAAAGAATTTATAGTCCTGTTTAACTCTTATTCACAATTTTTATATATAAATATCATAAATTTCAACGTTTTTCTGAAGAAACGACGATGATATTTAACGCAATTACTTATACGTTTTTGTGATACAGAGTAAGCAAATACTATCGAACTTATAAAGGCCTGTTTATTTTATTTTTTAATTATTTCTTTCAAAAAATTCAAAGCGTATCTATCAAAATAGGCTGAAAATGCGAATTTAAAATACAATACGAAGAATATAAAATAATAAATGGGTTTATAGTTTCCTATTTTAATTTCGTTATCAAAATTTAAGATTATTTTTTAATGNTCGTCTTTCATTTAAGCATAATTAACGTTGTCTCCCCTCTCTCTTTCTTTCTAGAATCTAGTTTGGTTAGTGTACCATTGGACGTCACGTGGTCACATGACAGTCATAGCAGTAGGCCGGGGTCAACATGACAGACTGCTGTCGGGATGTCCCCATCTGCGGAAAGATGCAGAAGGCTTCTAACATTTCTCCAACTCCGTATCCAGCCATGACCAATGGGTATTATACAGGAAACGGATCGAGCACTACAGAAGGAATTCACTTTTATCAACAAAGCAACTATACAGATTTCAGCTATCCGGTGCAAGCGAAATCTCCTTCGGACCAAGAAAACCGCGAACCCTATCACGTACGTAATAGTGATGAAGCATCTAGAAGTACTTCCTTACATCGTCAGGGATTCGTGTATTCGTGGATGAAAGAGAGCCGATTAAACACCACCAAACAGCAAGCGTCACAGGAGTTACATCAAGCAACAGACACAGGTAGGGAATATTTATGAAATGTCGAAAATTATTTTAAACGAGTCCCTTGTCATTTTATTCAGCCACCCCTCTCTTATTAGTAATTAAGTATCGTAAAGCTAACGTTTAGTCTAATGACTTCTTCGCTTTCTGCAACCTGTGACTGTAAAGGTTGACTAAGCCTAACGATTACGGTTAATGAGACGGTTGGTGGTTAGGCCTAACAATTATGCCTAATGACCACTGTGCTTTTCCTTACTTCCCTTGAGAGTGATCGCTTCGATTACCTGTTCCACCTCCCAAAGCGAGGCGAATTCTCTTCCTATTTTCGAAAACGGCTCACATTCACCTCCGACTAAGTGATCTTTTCCACACAATTTTAGCCAAGAAGCTAATTGAATTCTTTTATTTTCTGATCTGTTATTAAGACCGAACCTATTCACACGTATATTCACGAGGATTGCTCCTCACCGGTCCATAAATCTTAAGTTAAACGCGATTATCTGCTATAAAAACTCGAAAGAATTAAATTTAATAAGCAGAAATGTTCTTTTAATTATGATTAATAGGTTATACTTTATTGTTATTTAAATAAAACAAGATTTAAAAAAAGAAATACAATTCATATATCTTCTATAAATTATTATTATTTAAATATTGACAAAGTTTCTTTGTTTTGTAGGAAAAATAAATAATATTTTAGTGGAATAAAATCAAAAATTTTCCATAGTTAGATTGTAATGGAAGCTGCTTTTCCTTATAGTGTCGACAATAAGACGCCAGTCGCAATTCAGTTTGTATAGTTGGATCGAAGTGGTGGGTCAAAAGGTCACATGCTCCTCCCGGGAGGGAAATATCATTGAAACCCCTTATCGTCGGTCCCCTTAAGGTTGCTGGCCGCCCGCGACAAACACGGTTAGTGTAGAGGAACCGACAATCGGTTGTCACGACGACCAGGCACTAATTATGAAGGATGAGTTTGCGGGGAACTGCCTACTCTGAGCTTGGACACTTCGGACTTTCCTATAGTACAAGTATGTCCTTTGAGAGTAATCTTTATTCAAATGTAATATATATCTTTAAGAATCGAACACACATTTTGTAAAAGTTGAAAAGAAGGGTACTTAGTGTGTGAAATCCCCAGACACTCTAACAACTTTAAGGGAAGTGATGACCTTCTCAGCGATTTAGAACATTCGTTCTAAGTCGTTAAGAAGGCATTCGAAAAGCTGCGAATATAATTGATTTTGTGCATCGTTTAAACATTGTAAGTAAAACGAGATTATTTCGAATTTACTAGTCGCCTAAAGCCACAATAAAATAAGATCAATTAGGTAAGAATCTGTCTTCATCTGTTGGCGAACCACAAAACTGTCAATCAAACGACGTTCCTGCGACGTTGTCCACGTGAGTAATACTTCTTGTCTTCAACTCCCTTCTGTAACATTCTACCGCCAACATGGATCGTGTTACCTCCTGGAGATAAAACTAGCCTTGTGAACTAGTAAAACATCTGCGAGCAGTTTGCGCAACATATGGGTCGCCAGCTAAGCTATTGGACACCCGGTCACTGGCCACGGTTACGCTTGGCTTGTAGCAGAACTCGGGTCTTTCCCATACGGTCCGGAAGTCCAATCGTGTGCTTGGGCAATGCTACTTTTTATGTTTCCTCCCCTCCCTCTTGAGCAATGGCTTCCGAGAATCACCGGCCAACCCTTTAGTCAGTGCAAAAAAAAACTTGGGCGATGTTTATTCTAGGGCGTTATGGCTAATTACACTATCATATCTTTTATGTCAACATCATGTTATGTAAGAAGTTGTTAGTTCACGTTTTCTTTCGTTTCTCTTTAAAAAGTTGATTAGTTAAGAGTGGAAACTAGAGATAATTTTTTTATGAAATGTAACGTAAAGTCAAGTATCGCACACTTAGTCCCACTATAAATTATCACTTTTACTCATATCATTTCACTATATTAAGTATAATGTAACTTACTCCAGTCACATAATATCTCCAGATCATGTTGGATGTAGCTCTTCTTACTTATTATAATTACATCGGTAATTATAACTATTCTAAAATGAGATTTTAACCAGTTGTTTTGTCTTGCTCATTTCAAATATTTGAAAGGTTTAATCGTCATAAACTTCTATTAGAATATCTAGCGAACAACAATATTATTCGTTAAATATTTCTAAATAAAAACTATTAAAGATCTGTAAAATTGAGGTTAAATACAGTTAATTTTTCGAAATATAATTTATTACATGAGAATAANTGATTTATGTTCCAAAATTTTTATATTAAACTGTTGCACTATTTCTTGATATAAAAATCATCGTAATAAATCTCGAAAATATATCTTAATCTTTGATTAAATCTATCAAATTTATAAAAGAATTTATCGATTATTAATTTATATTGGAAAAATTTCTCTAAACGCCTTTCAAAAGATCCAAAAAGTTCAATTCTTTTATCTTATTTTATAAAAATTTTATATTGATAAAATCGTTACTTCGATATCCTCATACAACATTTTCTTTTTCTTTTTATTTTTTTAATTATATTAAAGTTAGTATAAGAGTAATTCTTTATCATAATTTTAATTTTAATTTAAATGACTAATTAATTATAAATTTTCTAAATCTGTAGTTAATTAATATCATAAAAAATGTTTTTTTCCACCCCTTCATCTTAATATCTATGCTTTAAATATTCATGTTTTTATTCTCCTTTAAAGCAGTATTTTAAATTATAACTTATCTTAAAAAGCTCTTCGATTATTTTAAATATAAATTTATAGAATTATTTTAAAATCTATTAAAAAATAATTATAAAATTTTACGCATTTTTATAGTGTATTACTCGTGTTAAATGACGTTCATAAATCACATAAGATACATTTTAAAGCTGTAAAGCAGATTTACAAGATTTATATAGTTTATAACATATTTTATACTGAACTAGAAATATATATCATAAATAAAACCGTATAATATTTCATAACTTATAAATCATAGAGTGATATTTTACTTATGGATCTTTCATTTTACTTTATTTATGGAGCCGATCTATACCGTTATAGAACATTATATTCAAATTAAATATGCTATTTTTAAATTATAAATTAGTTTAAAATGTTGTTTTTTTTATATCAGAATATCATATTATGCGCTATTGGGCATTTATATTGGGTCTTTAATGGCATACACGCACCAAAAAATAAATAAGTAAATGCTTTTATATAGAATCAGGCATTGATTTATCTACATATTTCACATCTGGAAGAATTGGATGTGTAATGCAAAAACGAAACAAAACTCAATACATTGTATATAAAATCTTGGCATTTCTCTTTCTTCGTCTCTCTCTTTTTTTTTCCTCCTTCATACCATGGAAATTCCATAGCTGCCGTCTCCTGGGAAATACATATGATGGCGTCCCCTTACTTCCAAATACGAAACGTTACTTTTATCCGCAAAGGGAGAGAGGAGAATGGGGGAAGAGGATCGACTGTGGTGATTACTTCCCTCTCTGACCATCTATTCTCTCGCAACCTCAACCTCTCCTCTCACGTGCCGCTCAGATGCTATGTTTCTCATGCTTTACGCTGTTACTCCTAGTGGTGACGCGCCCACTTCTACATATGACGGGTAATGGGGTGTTGAAACATTGTTGCCCGGATGGGAAATATACTCTTGATGCAT